TACCCAGAGTTGTTTCCAGAGACAGCAAACTTCGAGGACGAAGTCTAAGATAAGTGGGGGAGAATTGTAACCCCCGTTCCTGGTACGTATTTAATTTATTAAATGTCTTTTATAAAGAGCTACTCGGCGAGTAGTAGCCCTAACTCGTCGAGTAGATGCCAGGTTAGACGCGAGTTTTAAGTGATCTACTCGGCGAGTCCGCGCCTGGACTCGACGAGTAGGCCAGTCTGGAGGAAACCCTAATCCTCAGGGTTTGTACCCTATTTAAACGTCCTTATAGCCCCCATCCCAGCCTCCAGCACCCTTAGAGCGTTCCCCCTCAAAACCCTAGCCTCCTTTGGTGAGCTTGAGTGATTCCTTCTTGATTTTGAGTGTTTTGGTGTATTCTTGGAAGGGTAGAAGTGAAGGAAAGAGAGAAGGTGCAAAGGAGAAGAAGGAGATCCAGAAGCTAGCTTCCATTTTCTACTTCATCTGGTAATAAAGCCTCTACCTTGTTCATTTTCCTAGTAGATCTTCATTTATGCTTGTTTTGCCACTTTTGGGACATTTCAAGGTCCAAACTCGAGATTGGAGCTCCTTTAGGGTAGTGAGCTATAGATCTGGGCATCATTGAGCCCCAGGAGCTCAAAGTAGCTACCTTTATGCAAAGCAAGGTCTTGTTCCAAACCCTAGGTTCCCATTTCTAGCTTATTGTGGTGTTTTAGCTTCATACCTCTATGCATGCACGTAAAGTTGGCAACTTTACGTGTTATATCGGCCCTAGAAGCTCAGATCTATGAATTGGATGCACTGAAATCGATTAGAATCAACTGTTTAGTGAGGACATGCATAGGACTCGACGAGTTGTTCTTGGACTCGGCGAGTCGGAGCGCAAATCCTCCCGATTTCTCTGATTTTGGAGTTGTGAGTTGAATCAGCGAGTGGAAGAGGACTCAGTGAGTTAGAACAAGGATTTGGAAGTAGAGGGACTCGACGAGTCCACGTCCCGACTCGGCGAGTCGAGTCACGAGTTAGAGAAGTGTGAGTCCGGGAACTCGGCGAGTAGAGTCAACCAGGAAGTTGACTTTGACCAGGAAGTTGACTTTGACCAGGGGCAAAATAGTCATTTTACCCTGAGATTAGTTATTAGTATTTGATTTAGTGTTTATGGGATTTGTAGGCGGGGAGTTCCGGACCAGCAGTCAGACAGTCACAGATTTAGCACCTAAGCAGCCAACGTTACGAGGTGAGTTTTCTTCCAGTAGGAACGGGTCTACGACCACAATGCCGGCCCGTTTAGTTAGCAGTAGTTCCGGACTTCGGTCTGATGCAGTAGTTCAGTGTGCTTGATGTCTTTGTGATTCAATATGTCTTTGTGTTATGTGTTCCGAACTTCGGTCTGATGCAATATGCAGTATATGTGTTTATGCTAGTAGTTATGATTATGCTATGTTATGTTCAGTCAGTTCCGGACTTCGGTCCGATGTAGAGGGCAAGGCCCTGGTTAGTTCCGGACTTCGGTCCGATGCAGTTTCCGGACTTCGGTCCGATGCAGAGGGCAAGGCCCTGGTTAGTCCCGGACTTCGGTCCGATGTAGAGGGCAAGGCCCTGGTTAGTTCCAGACTTCGGTCTGATGCAGTGGGCAAGGCCCAATAGTTGCTTTATATGTTATTGTATGGTATGTGGTAGTTTGGGGGAGCTCACTAAGCTTTGTGCTTACAGTTTCAGTTTTTGGTTTCAGGTACTTCCGCTAGTAAGGGGAAGAGCTCGGGATGATGACATGGCACACACCACAGCTTCAGTTTATCCTGGGAGTTTTATTCGGATATTTTGATATGTTTTGACATCAGTTGATTTGATAAATTTATTATGACATTTTGAGACGCATGATCCATGAATTTATCTTTTAATATTTGATATTATGGTTTAGTAGAGTTTTCAAACGAAAATTTTTGGGTTGTATTTTTGGGATGTTACACATGGTTACCTAAATATGGACAAAAACCAAAGTTCGTTAACTATTTTGGTAATATTGGGTTCTTTATGTTAAGTGCAAGTACTCATAAGATCCATTGATGTGAAATGAAATTGGGTTGTCCGATCTTGTGTATGAGGAGATGGTTAAGTCTTGGGCCAACCCAGTTTAGGCCCAGCTAGTTAGGGGTTAGGTTTGTATACGCTTAAGGGGCTAGGTTGTATGTGTTTTAAAGACCGAGCAACACAGCTTAGCCCATGACTAGCCGGGACTAAACTGGGTTAAACCAAGTCTAACCTAATTGTTCATTGATTGTCGGAGCCTGATCCCAGGGCACACAGTCCCTAAGACGGTTCTTGTCCAGTATTACCAAAACAGGTAAGAAACTTTGGTTTTTGTCCGTATTTAGGTAACCATGTTTTTTTCGTACATATTTGACCAATAAACTTGTTTGATCTGTTCATAATAGGGTAATATTATCGTAATTACCGGACATATTACCCTATTTTGAACAGGTCAAACAAGTTCAATGGTCAAATGTGAACGAAAAAAACATGGTTACATAAATGTGGACAAAGACAAAAGTTTGTTACCTTTCTAGGTCATTAACCCCTCATAAAATGGTTAAATCGAGATTGACCATGTCTATGACACAATTATCACATTTTTTTGGAAACGACAAATATATTAAAATAAAAGGCTACATGCTTAGCAAGTAGGTAAATCAAGATTTTGTTTGCGATAATGGAGTAGATTGTCGTGATTAAAAAAACATTTACTTGTCAACCGACAAATACAAATATAAATTCACAATTTAAATGAAATGAGAGTTTTGCTAATTACAGATTTGACTTACAATGTAAATAACAAAACATAGAACTAAAAATGATATATTAAGGCAATTAATGAAATACTTTTGCTTCATTGATCCATTTTCTAGAAAAACATAATTGGATATCATTGCTTCAATTTAGATAGAACGATATTAGTGAACGAATTTATAACATCTAATTGCCGGATTAAAATTTGTGGATGCTCGGTTGCTCTTTATGTCCACGAAACTATATTTAGGACATAATCCGGTACAAAAAAGATTGCAAAAGTCCGAAACAATCACTTCACTGTCAAAACCTGAAAAGTTAGAAAACATTTTGAGAAAACGAGATAAATGACACTTCCCCAATCAATTATATGTTAATGAACTGCATATTTTATACATAATGGTTAACAATTTAGTAAAAAATTGATCAGACGGTGAATAGTTACCGGGAACATACTTTTCGGTTTGTTCACATTTGGATAACTATTTTTTTTGTACACATCTAGGTAACAAACTTGTTGGAGGTGTTCACATATGACCATTATGACCTGCTGTAGCAGGTTACATCCTAGATGTGAACACTTCTAACAAGTTCGTTACCTAGATATGTACAAAAAAATAGTTACGAAAAGTTAGAGTAAATTACACAAATGGTCCCTGTGGTTTGGGGGCATTTGTGTTTTTAGTCTATAACTTATTTTTTTTTTACTCGGATGGTCCCTACTGTTTATTTTTGCTGCGTGTTTGGTCCTTGTGTTACCTAAAAAGACTATTGTGCCCTTATTAGTTTATTTTTTTAATTAATTTTCTTATTTATGTATTTATTCTTTATATATTTAAAAAAAAAAATTAATAGACACTACATATCTGTATCTCCTCACCATCCCATATCTCATCCTCCTCAACTTCTATTTATTTTTCATCTTTAGTGATATCGACGTCTTTACCATCCCTTCTTTTTCGGTCCTTTAACTTCGTCGAATCAACACCACAACCCACTAAAAATGAATAGACAGTGAGTTATGGTGCTGGTTCGCCAGAGTTGAAGGACCAAAAAAAGAAGGATGATGAAGACGTCGATGTCACTAAAGATGGAAAAAAAAAATAGAAGTTGAGGAGGATGAGAGATGAGATGGTGACTGGTGAGACCCAAATTAAATTTCTCAAATGTGGTTTCAGGTTTACGGTGAGGAGATACATATATTTGGGGTCTATTAATTTTTTTAAATATATAAAAAATAAATACATAAATGAGAAAATTAATTAAAAAATAAATTAATAAGGGCACAATAGTCTTTTTAGGTAAGACAGGGACCAAACGCGCAACAAAAATAAACAGTAGGGACCATCCGAGTTAAAAAAAATAAGTTAGGGACCAAAAACACAAATTCCCCTAAACCACAGAGACCATTCGTGTAATTTACTCTTATTTTTCGTTTTGTGGTAACTATTTTTTTGTACATATCTAGGTAACTATTTTTTGTTAAAAATGTTTACATCTAGGATGTAACCTGCCATAGCAGGTCATAATGGTCATATGTGAACACTTCCGATAAGCTTGTTACCTAGATATGTAAAAAAAATATAGTTACCTAGATGTAAACAAACCGAAAAGTTAATTACCTTAACAAGTCATATTCCCAATAGTTACCTGCTGTGCCCTTTCGACGTATACTATCGAGAAGTTACAAATTACTTAAAAAAAATCTGAAAAACCTAATTCTCTTTCAAGAATTACAAAAAACGTATAGAGAAATACTATAAAGAACCGTAAATTATTTAATGCATTCAATATTTTTTATGTAATACTGGAACATTGGAACTGTAAATTCGCGATCTCTATGAATGTTTGTAATATTAATAATAATAATAATAATAATTATTATTATTATTATTAAAATGCGGTTACCTTGATAATATTTAGTGAATATAAATGTTAAAATAACTTCAAGACAAAATTATAAAATCTCTCATATTTTTCACGCCAAAAACTCAATTACTGCAAAGATAATGTGTCAGTAAAATCAATTAAACTAAACAATCTGAACCATCAAAAAGACGATTTAACGACCAAGATTCCTTCCAAAACTCTAAATCAGAATTATCAAAATAGATTGAATTGATTATTTTATTACTAGAAGCTCGGAGTAAATCCGATTTCCAAATTCTGCAATGCCATTTTTGTCTTGTTTCTAAGCAAAGGTTTTAGGTTTTTACATAAACCTTTTTGTTAAAGCAATTTGCAGCTTCCTCACGTTATCTTACTTCACATCTCCCTCTTTTCTAAATCCCATTTCTTATCTTTTCAGTTTCTTGAATTCAAGAACTGAGAAAGAGAGAGAGGTGTGGAGATGGAAGCTGTCATTCAAACAAAAGGCCTTCTATCCCTTCCTTCAAATCCACAAACCAGAGCTTTTCTTAACAAACCATCACCACACCAATCTCTTAGACAACGATTCCACCTCTCAAATCCCTTAAAACCCAAATCCACAAATGGGTTTTCCTTAAATGTCGATGGGTGTAAAAAGTTTCAAGGGTTTGCTGCTACAAACCCTGGTTTGTTTAGTGCCCCAAAACCTAAACTTTTGCATGTCTGTAAAGCTTCCGCCGCCGCCGCGCCCCTCCCCGGCGGCGCAGGCTATGGCGACGTAGAAACCCCAAAGTTTATGGGTATTGAAGTCCTGACCCTAAAAAAGATTGTACCTTTAGGGTTAATGTTCTTCTGTATTCTTTTCAATTACACAATCCTTAGAGATACAAAAGATGTATTAGTGGTAACAGCCCAGGGTTCAAGTGCTGAAATTATACCCTTTTTGAAAACCTGGGTTAATTTGCCAATGGCAATTGGGTTTATGCTGTTGTATACAAAATTGGCTAATGTTTTATCAAAGAAAGCTCTTTTCTATACTGTAATTCTTCCATTCATCGCGTTTTTTGGGGCTTTCGGATTCGTTTTGTACCCTCTTAGCGGTTACGTTCACCCCACAGCACTTGCTGATAGACTCCTTGAGTTCTTGGGTCCGCGGTTTCTCGGACCTCTTGCCATTATGAGGATATGGAGTTTCTGTTTGTTTTATGTCATGGCTGAGCTCTGGGGAAGTGTCGTCGTTTCGGTTTTGTTTTGGGGGTTTGCTAATCAGGTATAACGCTTCTTCTTCTTCTTCTTCTTCCCCCAGTTTTAAGCTTATCTTGTTGATATTGAATTTTGTTCTCGAGATTGGATTGTAATTTTTGGTTATCACACCATAAATTTGTTGTTTTTCATGATATAAGTGGATAAGCACGAAATGGGTGTCTTATCTTTTGCATTCAACATTTTGATTTCCTTCAAATGTATTTGTATACACAAACACACACACACACATATATAAACATATACATGTCTCCATAGACGTATATGTATATGCGTGAGTATACACAAAGTGATGTCTATATAGATGTATATGTATCAATCTATACGCATATGTGTATGATGTATATGTGTATGTAGATAACAACAGTTGACGAAGCGAAAAAGTTCTATCCTCTATTTGGGCTTGGAGCGAATGTTGCATTGATATTCTCGGGGAGAACCGTTAAGTACTTTTCAAATATGAGGAAACATTTGGGTCCAGGAGTCGATGGATGGGCAATTTCATTGAAATACATGATGAGTATTGTGGTGTTAATGGGTTTTGCCATTTGTGGTCTTTATTGGTGGGTTAATACATTCGTTCCTCTCCCTACTCGTAGCAAGAAGAAGAAGGTAACATCTCAAGTTTATAATTTTCTTTTTACTTATATCGAGTTTTGGGTCTCTCTTTTTTTTTTTTTTTTTTTTTTTTTTTTTACTAAAAGTACACCTTGAATGCACGTATTGTAGGAGAAGCCGAACATGACCACAATGGAGAGTTTGAAATTCTTGGCTTCATCGCCTTACATCAGGGATTTAGCCACTTTGGTTGTAGCATATGGAATTAGCATTAATCTTGTTGAGGTTACATGGAAATCAAAGCTCAAGGCGCAGGTAAAACATTAAAAAAGCTTGTGTTATGCGTGCTGTTTGGATAAATGATGTTTACAAATTTGTCTTGCATCCTTTTTGTTACAATAACTTGATAAATTATATTATTAAACAATTATTTATATTGCAGTTCCCAAGTCCAAACGAGTATTCTTCCTTCATGGGTGACTTTTCAACAGCAACTGGAATAGCAACATTCACAATGATGTTATTAAGTCAATGGATATTCAACAAATATGGTTGGGGGGTGGCTGCTAAAATCACACCCACAGTTCTACTTTTAACCGGGGTTGGGTTCTTTTCTTTGATTTTGTTCGGTGATCCTCTGGGACCCGGTCTTATGAAGTTTGGAATCACTCCACTTTTAGCAGCTGTCTATGTTGGTGCACTGCAAAACATATTTAGTAAAAGTGCAAAATACAGTTTGTTTGATCCTTGCAAGGAAATGGCATATATACCCTTGGATGAAGACACCAAGGTTTGAATCTGAATCTAAACTTATTGTTTGTTTAAATCGGGAGGAGCTTTAACTTTAATTGATCCTTTTTATATTTTGAAATTTCAGGTTAAAGGAAAGGCAGCCATAGATGTGGTGTGCAATCCATTAGGGAAATCAGGAGGAGCATTGATTCAGCAGTTTATGATTTTGACTTTTGGATCACTTGCAAACTCGACACCATATCTTGGTGGAGTGCTTCTGGTTATTGTGGTGGCATGGTTAGGGGCAGCAAAGTCATTAGACACACAGTTTACAGCTTTGAGACAAGAGGAAGAGCTTGAGAAGGAGATGGAGCGGGCAGCGGTCAAGATCCAGATTGTTTCATCGGATGTAGACACGAATGAGAATGGGCAGCTGGTCAGTGATTCGGGCAGCAGTAACTCAGGGGAATCGTCGTTTCCAAGGAATGATTGAATTGAATTGAATTGAATTGAAGATGCTGGTTGTTATAGGGGTTTAGAGTTTGGAATTTGGATACACAGGTAAAGGTGGAAACTTTGGGATGTTTTTTCTAGGGTTTTCTTGTTTTTATTTTTGAGTAGAATAATCAGAGCAAATCCAGGAATGCTGCTGCTGACTTTTGGAAGTCGTTGATGTTTTTTGTAAGGTTTATGTTTGTTCGCAGGCAAATCTTTGTAGAAACGACATTTGAATGTTGTTAATGTGATGAAATGTATTTGTTTTTTTTTTATCCTCTTTTTGCTATGTTGAGATTGCAGAGAGTGCTTGGATGAGCTGTAACAATGGAACAAATGCTTTTAATGTGATAAAATATATTGTTATTTTTGCTCTTCGTCGTTCTAAATAATACGTATCATAATTCATAATGACATAGGAAAAAAAGACAAAAGACGTCAACAGCAGGATTCGAACCTGCGCAGGCAAAGCCCAACAGATTTCGAGTCTGTCTCCTTAACCACTCGGACATATTGACGTTTTATTTATTGTCTCCCAACTAAATATATGTAATAATTTAGGTTAGAGAACAAAACAAAACAAGCAAGTTTTTAACTTTTTAGGTAGCATTTTAAGAGGGTGTTTGTTTTTCCTTTTAAATCAAATTTTTGACTTTTAACTTTTCCAAAAAGTTAGAAAAGTCCAAAAGTTGTTTGTTAAATGGAAAAAGACTTTTAAAACCAACTTTTAGGTGCTGTTTGTTTTTTAAAAAAAACCACTTCAGACCACTTATTGCTGCGCCGCGCAGCACACGCGCAACACTTGGCCTTTCGCAGCTGTTTGTTTTCCTGAAGACTTCTGACTTAAAAACTGCTGCGCGTGTGCTGCGTGGCGCAGCACTAAACCAACTGCTTCAAACCTCTTCGCGCCTTACTTTAACTTACTGCAGTAGTCTGCAGACGTTAAAAAACAAACAAACTTTTTATTAAATGCTGCAGCCTTTTGTTCCACCTATTCTGCTACAGAGGATTGCAGAGGTGGTCCGCAGACTTAAGACATTTTCGCTTCGAAAAAACAAACAGCACCTTAGCAAATCACAAAAAGTAGCATTTTCAAAAGTCACACTTACGTGACTTTTTGTCTTTTTGAAGATTTGAGGCTGAAAAAGCAAAAAGAAATCTCAAACATTTTTTAAACAAAATCTTTTGGAAAAAGGTCTTTTAGAAAAAGTCATTTTACAAAAAGGACTTTTCCCTTCAAAAAGTAATCCCAAACACCCCCTAAATAATGTGAACCTTGAACTGGATCCTGATAGCTTGAAGACTCTATTTTATTATTTATTTTTTATTTTGAATTCGATTTAAGAACTTGAATAAATAATATATATCTATTAAAGCTATGTGCAACATGGCAAACTCGATTTGAAAGCCGGAATAACATGAAAATACATATAAAACTATATTAAATTAATCAAGTTTTGATCGAGTTCAATAAAAAAATATTAACAATAATGCTCGATAAGATTTATATTCTTTAGGGGCCGACTCATTTTATGTTCAAACTTACTATTTTGTACTAAAACTCAAAAAAAGCCCAAAATTATTTTTGGTCCTAAGTTGTTGGGCTTGATTTGTTTATCCATTTATCTTCTATTTATTATTGTTTCTTTATTCATGCATTTTTATATGGTTTTATTTATGATCTTGTTACAAGATTGATTTAGAGGTAAAATCGGTGTAAAATTGTATGATCTATAATAAGATCGTAAAATATATGCTAAGATCATAGCATCATCGAGAATAAAATTGTTAATAATTATTATATATTTAAAAAAAACCATCAATAAAATGACATTTTTGTTGTCCTTTCTATTGAGAATTGTTTTTTTTTTCCTAAAGAAACATGTTAAATTATTTATATCTTAATGAATGAAAAAACAAACAAAATTGATATTTAGGTTTTGCCATATTCATTGGATCTTTTTTTTTTTTTAATTCCCAATGAAACATTTTTAGATAGTTAAAGTTATAGTTTTCGTTCTAAAATTCATGACTCATCTTCTAATTTTCTATGAATGTGAGCAAATAAATGTAGTTGGTCATATGGTTTTTACTTTTTACTATGTTACATATTTATATCCTATGTTAGGAACTTGGATCTAGGATCGTTTGAAACTAGATGTTTAAGTAGAAATATTTATATGCATGTGTTTATAACTTTCATTTGATATAAATAAATCATTGTTCACACGGAACAAAATAGCTCATAGCAGTAAGATTTTTCAATCCCACAAAATAGCTCATAGTAGTAAGATTTTTCAATCCCTATATGATCTTATACATTGTCTTGTGGAACAAAAAACAATTATAGTAGTAAGATATTGATCATGACAACTTATTTCTAACCTTGTATAATTTTCTGCATCCTCTTCGATTTAGAATATGCACACACACAAACCAAGCATGACAAGACAACGAATCACACACACACACATAGTAGTTCACTCACTTATTCACCGTAAAAAAATACCAACACACTATACTTGCAACTAAAAGTTGCAAAACTACATCTTTACTACTTTCTTGATCACCTTATAAGAAGACTTGATAAAATTACCATTTACCCCACGGTTTTCCACATCCTCATCATCACCCATCACAGCCGGCTTCCTTCTAATGCAATCCACACCTTTTTTCATGCCCAAAATTATCGAAGGTGAAGATGGAATCCTTCTCAAAACCCTAGCACTCTCACTCCTTGCAATATCCTTGAATTTCCCAATTTTTTCACTTCTTTCCTTCACTTCAAAACTCTTCCTTCTACTAATCGATTTCTCACACTCCATTTCATTAACATTACTTTTCCTTACGTAAGGAGGAATCTTAATCAAGGTTGTTCTTTTTGTATCTTCTTCTTCAACACTACTTTTCCTTATGTAAGGAGGATTCTTAATCAAGGCTGTTCTTTTTGTATCTTCTTCAACAATTTCAGTTGCCTCATTTTTCAAGGTTTCTTTTTGGGGATACTTTAAATTCATCTTTCTTATGATTTCATCTGTCTTGTTACCATTTGAAGCATTTGAAGTGTTAATGTGAATGTTGTCATGAGTACTATTACCCTCTTCTTCCAATAGTATTTGAAGCCATTTTTCAACGTTACCCTTTCCACGTTGCTTTCTTTTCTCTTCATCTTCATCTTCCTCTTCTTTTACTAACTCTTCTTCATCATCATCAACTGGAAACCTGATGTCATACGAGACTCCATTCTCTTCTATTCTCAATCTTTCCATCTTTTTGCCATTATCAATGTTAATGTCATCTATAGATTCTTCATTTCTTTCTATCTCTGCTTCAGACTCTTTATGCTCCTCTTCCAAAAATACCCTTAATTGCTTGTGTTCAGAGTTGGATCCTGGCAAGTATAAAACAGTGTTGTCATCTTTTTCTTGAAGTAAAGCTAAATCTTGAGGTGGTTCTTGGCTTTCTTTGCTTTCGGGTTGTTGATATAACACCATTTTATCATCTTTCCAATCATCCATTCTTGATCTTTTCCTTGTTTGTTCCATTTCGGGTCTGATTTGTTTCTCTAATTCATCTCTATGCTTAAATTTCTTGTGAAGCTCTCTTTCTGATGAATCACATATGGCTTTCTGAGCTTCAAGCCTAGCCATGAGTGAATTACTTGCTGCTTGATTCAACCTCACTTGTTCTTTATAAACAACACTTCTGAAACAAACAAAAAAGTTTTTTTTAGCAATTAATTATCTTGTCTCAAACATGAATTTATAATGTCATTGAGGTTATTTTCTTACTGATGCATAGCGTCTCTTATCATCTTTTCCAGCATTGATTTATATGAGGCTTGTGCTTCTGCTAAACGCCGACATTTTTCTGCACGCCTTCTTTTCTTGATTAACACCAATTCAAGATCTTGGATTGAAGTTCTTTCTTCTTCGTTCTTTTGCTTCAATTCCATTACTTCTTCATCTAGTTTCTGTATTTCTGTCTGTTTCTTGACTGTTTCTTCATTCTGTCTCAGTGAGTCTCGAGCAATGACAATAGCTTGATATGGGTTCATCACCATTTCTGGATTTTCATTTTCTTTTGACATATTCGATCTTGATTTTCTTGCAGCTGTCATAATGTTGGATTCCTTTCTGGATACAACAATGGCAGCTGGAGCAAGACCCAATTTCTTCTGTGATTCGTTAAAAGGTTGTGGAAAACAATGTGAATCAACTGTTTGTGTAGAATTAAGTTCTTCACTTTCGCCATTACTAAACAGTAGATAAAACCCCCTCTGCCTGTCAATTTGCAGGAAAGAATTAAACATAATCCCCATAAATGCACATCTATAAGAGAAGGTAACAAAGGTTTACAAATGACTTACCTAAAATCTGAGTTTGAAGAAGCAAAGATTGACAAGAACTGGTTGACTGATATACCCACTTGAAGATCCCACCATGGAACTAAAAACTCGAGCTTGTGATGCTTCTTCTTGCATACTTGCCATTGTAATAACCTTAGATTACTTGAAACAGTCAATCCTCCTCCTGTAATCCACCAAGAAATCAGAAAATGTACACGGAAGTTCATTTGATTTGTATATATACATCATATAGAGATGATTACTTGAGCAAGGGAACCAATGATCAATATCCCAAGCAAGAGGAGAAGCAGAATCAGCATGGAAATAAAGAACATTGCCATAGGAGTCCACTCTGAAAGACTCGGGATCAAAGCCAGCATTCCTGAAATGTTAAGACATTGTCCCAACTGTTAAAGTAAAACCCTTTTGTATTTGATTAGGAATAAGTTATTGGATTAGAAAAAGGTAAATAGAGCAAAGAGGCGTTCATTACCCAAGATGGTTGAGTTGCTTCCATAGTAGGTTCACAAAAATCTTTGGTTTTGCAGAGGGTTTTGCTTTCAGATCTATAATTGGAAACAACTCATCTAGCTCCTTGGCTCTCAAAGCCTATAAAAACAGGATGCATAAGATTTTCGTATCAATTATAATGACAAGTAAAGTAATGCAACAGACTTCTTTATACTTTCTCAATCAAGAAAACTGATTCTAGTAATCCACATGTTAGAATTTTGAAGATTGGGGTTGTTGTGGGATAAATTTGGACACAAGTAAATGATGGGGTTGACAAGAACAATTGAACAAAAAGCATCTAACTTTTAGCTTCTTCATTTTTTCATGGTTAGTAACTAAAATGCATAGATGATTAATTTTGAAAACGATATGTTTAAGAGCAATCTAGTTTATATCAATTGTTACTAACACTAG